TGTTGTGGGGGAGGAAGGGAAAGGAGAATGTTAGCCGCTTTGAGACTCCTTAAAGGGAGTGAAAGGCGGGATATCAAATCCAAACTCTTCTTCTTCTTCTTCACCTGAAGCAGGTGAATGTGTTGCATATACACGTGGTTTGACCTGGCTTGCCTAATATGTGTAGGCTGGATTGAGGTATTAGAAGAGATAAAATCTCAAAGAACCTCCTGTGGTTCACTTAATGTACAGGGTTTGGCCTGTTGTGCAAAGGCCTCTTATTTCTTAATTATCATTGTGACCAACATTCTCCTCACGCCAAACTAGCAATGGTGAATAATGATCTGCACAATGCCGAAGCAGAATACCTCTCCCAGTCGTGACTCTTGTCTTGTAGCACAGAAGAAGTTTGGCTACTAGGCCAACAATGGATTTGTCTACAAAGGCAGCTTGGCAAAAGTAATAAAACTACTCCAGCTTGAATGCTGCCTTAGGCTGCAACCCTAAACACATGTACCTCTGCTTAAGTCCTATACATCCCAGAAGAATTTGTTTCCAGGAAGACATGCAGAGGATCGTGCTATAAGTAATCCTATACACAAAGAGTACTCCCACAAACACAGATTATTCAATGTGTTCTCTCCCACCAACAGTTGCCAAACAATTGCATACATAGGTTTTGCAACCATTTGCCAACCAAGTGAAATTTATTGCTCAAGATACCATGTGAAGCTTTCCTAAATCAACTAGGAAAAACAAATGCCTGCACATTTTCTTTTGCATAATTTAAGCTTCCTATTTAAATGAGATTTTCAGTGTAGAGTACCAAAAGAAGCAAATTTTTTTTACCTTACCACAAGAAGCACAATCTTTCATAACAAGGGGAGAGGGAGAGGTTTGATCAGATTCACCCTGCAAGTAACTTCCTAATCCAGATGCACAGCTATTTCCTTTCTCCTTTTTTGACCTTTTATGTTTTGCTTGATATCTCAAAGGTTTTACAATGTTAATACAAAACATTTTACAATAAAATAAAATAAATCAGAAAAAAATAATAAAAAGGAGAAAATAAACACCACTCTCATTAACGCTGAACAATACAAAAGAAAAATCCGGGACTTTTTAACATTACCAGAACTACTTTGATTCTTTTACACTTAAATAAATTCAACTGAATATACAGCATTAGACCACTCCTAACAAGGAGTGTGGGGTTGTTTTATTGTACTGTACCTTGTAACCCAGTATATAATTAAACATATATATATTTCTTGACAAAAGGATCATACAGTTGTACCTTGGTTGTCGAACGCCTTGGTACTTGTACGTTTTGGATCCCGAACACCACAAACCCAGAAGTGAGTGTTCTGGTTGGCTAACGTTCTTTGTAACCCGAACATCCGACTCAGCTTCTGCGGCTTCCAATTGAGTGCAGGAAGCTCCTGCAGCCAATCAGAAGCTGCGCCTTGGTTTTCGAATGTTTTTGGAAGTCGAACAGACTTCCGGAACGAATTCGGTTCGAGAACCAAGGTACAACTGTCATCCTGTCTGCCTTCTCTCACACAAATCATATTAGTTAATTTGACGATACAGGCAACATCCTTTACTTTATTTAACCAGTCATTTTGTTTCAGAGGGAAGTTTGACCATATGAGAGCCATTGGGGTAGAGTTGTTCAAGTATCAAGACATGAACTTGAGAGGTCCATGTTCAAATATACACTAGCCATAGGGCTGAGTGACTTTGGGCCAGTTACTATCTCTTAGTTTACACCGCTTCCCATGGTTGTTAAGAGGGGAGGAAATGGGAGGGGAATTATGGGAGCTGCCTATGCTTTTGCAAGTTGTTTTTATTGCAGCACCCTAAACAGTATGATTAAATGCTCCCCACTTCCCTGAGCAGTGGTTTCCTGTAATTAAGAAGAGAACTGAAAACTTGTGTTGTCTTTGTTTACAAATACTGCATACAAGTTGGAGCCAAATGAAAGAAAGGTTCCTTAAAGCTGCCAGAATAACCACTGATGCCATTTCAAATTCTCATAGATGGAGAAAGAGGACACAAAATAGACTCCAGTACTAGCTGGCTCTTAAGAAAACCATTATTCCTCAATGTCAAATTATATGAAATTAAAGACAAAACATCATCTTCATAGATACTAAGCCTGCAGATAAAGCAATATAATTGGTACGGTCAAAGATCCTAAGCTTCTCTTGCTATGTACTGAAACGAGTTTTTTCCCTAATATTTTTCCACTTCCCTGCTGGAATACAGAATGACTCTGTATATTTATTAAATACTATTTTCCTTTGCCATATGTATTTTATTATAAATTTGTTAGATGTGCAGTATCTTCTTCTGTGTAGGATCTGTTGTTCTAGTATGAAAGCTAAATATGGCTTGTTTAACTGCACTTGTTCTCTTTTCTTTCTCCAAATGTTCAGTGCCTCTTATTCTGACTTGATCTGAGTGATTGCATTTTTATTCCACCCTTCCTCCAAGGAAATAGATGCCACCCACTTCCTGAAAACAACTTGCGAGATACATTAGACCAAAAGATCATAAGCAATTGAGTTCACCCAGCAAGTTTCGTGGCTGACTGCCGGTTTGCCTCCCTGTTCATCATCCATTATGCTAAGCATTGCGTCACACTGACTGGTTGGCCTGGAGCCAAACAGGAAAAGGAGGAAAAGAGGGAAGAGTGTGTCAGAACAAAGAACCAAATTGTCATGTTCTAATCTGATGCCTGATCTCATGGAGGCCAGGCTGTTCACAAGTTACAGGACCACGGATAGCTCCAAGTGAATGACTTGCCCTGGCAAAAGTTGGGAGCAGACTGATATCCTTTAAGCTTCTGGGCTCATCCAGACTTCCACTTGCACCGCTTCCCCCCAGGGAAACCTGATCTTTACCACTGGGTTTTCCACAGATTGACGTTTGCTCCAAAAGTTGCTCGGACCCATGCTTTTCTCCATGGAAGTGTGGAGGAGCCCTCTGTCGACTTCCTCTGGGCTCCACCGGCTTGCGGAGAACTTCAGAACTTTAAAGGGCAAATCCTCTGGCCTCAGGACTGCTACTCCTTCTCCATTCCATAGCACTCCCTGTGCTGCTAGACTGGTGAAGTGTAGTGGGAGCCATCTGATTCTTCAGGGGAAGATGCCCACGAAGGTCCCTAGTGGTCCAGAGGTTCTTCTGGAGGCCCCTGTCCAACAGCCTCAGTTACAATGGTCTCTTGGTATCTGGCAGCCAGCTTAGAACCCTGAACTTCATTCGACTCCTCAGCTGGTGCCTATGCAGCCTCCAGTTATATGTGTGGATTACTGCTGGATTCAGGAGCCATGACAAAAGTAACTTCTTCAAAGAGCAAATAATTAAGCTGTGGAATTCAGTGCCACCAGATGGCTCTAAAAGGGGATTAGACACTCGTGGGGGATAAAGCTTCTAGACAAGGTGGCTACTGCCTCCAGGTATTGGAGGCAGAGAATGCCTTTGACTATAAGGTGCTGAGAATCATGGGTGGGGGGTGGCATTGTTGCACTCATGGGTCTTAAGCACAGTGGCAACTTAATAGGCTTCTGGCCAGCCAGGATACACTGATGGGCACATCTAATCACACGGAAAGTCCCATTGTTTACAGTATAACACTCCTTTGTCTTTTCTTTTCAATTATTAATTTGTTGCATATACATTACATCTCCCTGTTTTATTATTTATTGGTCACCTAAAACTGGTGGGAAATTTAAAGTGGCTGCTTCATTTCATCTTTTGAAATGGAATCGTCAGTTATGGTCAGCCATCATGCCCCTGTACAATAAGAATACCTTACATTTCTGTAATACGCAATGACTATCGAAAACCCTGTTCAACTGATTTTTAAATACAGTAATATGTTTTGAAGGAGGCTTTTAGGCAGGGAGGGAAGAGAAACTCTAGATAAACCAAAAGAATTGCTCCATACTGCCAGTCACAGATAACAGGCCTGTTTCATTCAGCTTTTTGGTGTATCTGTTTATCAAGGGCAAGAGAAGCTTACATGAGTGATTTAATGAGCATTCATCATAATATGTGAGATTAGACAATGTTGCATCAGGCATTATCCCACACTTTCCAGTGCATACTCACTTGTCACAAAAAGTCTTATCTTTTGGGAAAGAGGCTTTGTTGCAAAAGGGCTCAAAATCAGCTTTAATTGTGCAGCCTGAATTTTCCAGGATGGGTCTGGATCCCACCCCAAAGTAATGGCAGTCTGGAAGTGCTCTAAAAATCATGACCACACCATCATTCCACACCATCTGGCATGGAAAAACAGACCCTTTATCTCACAAAGGTCAAGCATATACCAGTCAATTTAATAACCCACAGAATGACATTGTGCTGTACATAGTAATTTGCATTAAAATGTACAACACAATGACATTATATGGGTTAATTATCATAGAACAAGCAATATTTTGGGGTTTTTTTAAAGTAAATTGTTTAGTTGATGTATCTTTAAGGGCTCACACTAACTTGTTTGTTAAAAAAAAATCTCTATGCTCTAGTACTGAAGTGTGTGTTGTCCCCTTGGGTCCTTTTTGTTTACTGTTGTCAGAAGTTACAGCCCAGTTACAAGAAAAGCATAACCAAGTCCTACTGTATTGAATGGGCTGCCCACAAATGAGGCTACAGATCTTTGTGTCTGTTAATGAACGCATCGCGACATGTTGCTTTAAATCAATTTTCACTGCGCCTAAATCTATGGCTTTTGTGCACGCCTCTATAACATCAGCCTCTTGCCTTCTCCCCCGTCAACGTTCAAGCACAGGAGCTGACATCGAGAGACCTCCAAGGTAAGCCTAAGGAGATCGAATTGCCAGTGAGAGGAGGACAGCTCCGCGGAGAGAGCAGAAGGGATCCCTTTTCTTGGCCAGGGTTTCGCCTAGTATTCAGAGAAAGTGACAGATGGGAAGGCAGGCAGGCAAGTTGGGGGGGGGGGAGGGAAGGAGGGAGGGAGGGCTCACGCGGCGGCGGCGGCGGGGCGGGGCATCCCCGGCTTTAGCAATTAATCGGTGCTCCCGGAGAGCTGAAAGGCACTGCAGTCTATGCCTTGCGTCGGGGGCATCAATCATTCAACCGGCGCGCGGCACCGAGGGCGCAGTTGGGAAAGGGGAAACTTTCCCCGCAGATGATTTAAGAAACCGAAGCCGCGGCGCAAGCGGGTGGGGAGTCTGGCTGAGCTATAGAAATTGACCCAGGCGTGCCTGGCCGGGCTTGAATTACCGCGGCGATGCGCCTGCCGCTTCTCCCTGCAGGAGCTGCTGCTGCGCGCTGGCTGGGGGCGAGCGAGGCTGCTGCTACTGCTGCCTGCCTCCTGCCCTTGCTGCAATGAATGATGCGGGAAGAGGAGGAGGAGGAGGCGGTGGCCGCCGGCGCTGCTCGGGCGAAGCACAAATCCACCGCAACTCCTCCAGTAGCAGCAGCAGCAAGGAAAGCGGCTTTGCCTTGGTGAGCTTACATCACAATCCCGGCTCGGGCTGCTGTTTCTCTAAGCGGCACGCAGCAGCCGGCGGCCGGCCTCTCCTCCAGCCCCACGCCGGGGAGCCGTCGAGGGAGGAGGGCGCCAGGATGCCCGCGGTCGGCGGATCCGACGAGGGCCAGGCGCCCCCTGGAGCCGCGCCGTCGCCCAAGCCTGCCCGCTCCTCGGGCCGGCCGCCGTCTCGTCGGGAAGGCGGCCCCGGCCCGCTGCTGCGCTGGGACGAGGTCCCCGACGACTTCGTGGAGTGCTTCATCCTGTCGGGCTACCGGCGCCTGCACTGCACGGCGCAGGAGTGCCTGGCGTCGGTGCTGCAGCCCACCAACGAGACGCTCAACTTCTGGACGCACTTCGTGCCGCTGCTGCTCTTCGCCGCCAAGTTCTGCCGCCTGCTGCTGCTGCGCGGCGCCGGCGACGTGCCCTTCCACCACCCGGCGCTGCTGCCGCTCTGGTGCTACGCGTCGGGCGTGCTGCTCACCTTCGCCATGAGCTGCACGGCCCATGTGTTCAGCTGCCTCTCGCTGCGCCTGCGCGCCGCCTTCTTCTACTTGGACTACGCCTCCATCAGCTACTACGGCTTCGCCAGCACCGTGGCCTACTACTACTACCTGCTGCCGGGCCTCAGCCTGCTGGAGCCCCGCGCGCTCAGCCGCTACCTGCAGCAGCGCCTGGGCTGGCACGTGGACTGCAGCGCGCCGCTGGCCGCCTACAGCGCGCTGGTGCTGCCCGTGGCCTTCGCGCTGGCCGTGGCCTGCACCGTGGCCTGCTGCAAGAGCCGCTCCGAGTTTTGCGCCTACCCCTTCGCCATCCGCACCTTCGTCTTCGTCATGCCGCTCAGCATGGCCTGCCCCATCATGCTCGAGAGCCTCCTCTTCGACCTGCAGGGCCACAACCCCACGCTCTTCGTCCACTTCTACCGCCGCTACTTCTGGCTGCTGGTGGCCGCCTTCTTCAACGTCAGCAAGATCCCCGAGCGCATCCAGCCGGGCCTCTTCGACATCATCGGCCACAGCCACCAGCTCTTCCACATCTTCACCTTCCTCAGCATCTACGACCAGCTCTTCTACGTCGAGGAAGGCCTGCAGCAGTTCCTGCAAGGGCACGCGCCCGCCTCGCCCACCTTCGCTGGCACGGTGGGCTACATGCTGCTCTTGATACTGTGCCTGGGCCTGGTCATCAGGAGGTTTCTCAACGTCCCGGAAGCCTGCAAACACGATTGAGGTAGCCTCCCCTTACGGTTTCTGTTGCAGGTCTCCATCAAATCGCCCAGAGGGTATTTTTTAAAAATTATTTTATTTTGCTGGCTTGCCGCAGAAAAACTCAAGGAGGTTAACTCTCTAAGAAGCCCTGGTACCTTTCAGAGAAAGGTGCTAAGAAGAGCACTGAATTCGTCCAAATCAAGCACTGAACTCCTTAGGGGAAAATGAACACTTCTGTTTCTCTGGAAACAAATTTAGATTTTAGAAAAAGGCGCTCGAGCCGCATCACTGTATACAACTTACTCTTATTTATTGCTGCTTAGGATACAAAGAAAAGCCATTTAGGACCCTTTCCTGAACTCTCCTACAATTTGATCCTCAGTAAATTTTTTGAAAGCAAGCCGCGCCGTCTTACTTTCAACTAATGTGCCTAGGATCAAGGTTTCAGGGGAACAATATGCATGGACCATATGAATGCTATCTACTGATTTCAGACTGTCTAGGAGATGTTATTTCAATTAGCAATATATGCTAGGCCTGCACTGACAAACTGTTGAGATTTAAAACCAGATAATGCACATGATGCAACTCAAGGATGTGTGTGTGCATTTTCTGTTAAAGTATTTTGAAGTCATATGCACTGGAACTTGGTTTTCAACACAAGCAGATTGAGTTCTGTTTCTTTTTGCATTAACTTGCCTTGGCCCCAAGGCAAATGCAGTACTTAAAACTTCTGTATAGAAATACCTTTAAGTAACTGTGAACTATAGTGGAACTGGGTTATAATTTGATCAGAAGCTGTTGGTTAAACTGTGAGAAACAAAAGGTGAGCAGGGAACATAGCCAGCCCAACCTCAACACATAAAACCCGCCTCTTGCAAAATGCTTTATACAGTCATACCTTTATACAGAATGCCCTGTGAGTCTAATGTTTTGGCTCCCGAACGATCGAAACTCGGAAGTGACTGTTCCGGTTTTCAAACGTTCTTTTGGAAGCCGAAAATCCGACGGGGCTTCCCTGGCTTCCGATTGGCTGCAAGAGCTTCCTGCAAGTCGAACGGACTTCCGGAATGGATTCCATTTGACTTCCAAGGTACGACTGTACTCTGGTTCTGGTGCCCATTTACAAAATATGCATGTCTTGACAGTTGTGAAGGGTGCACATTTATATAAATGGCACGTAAGCTGAAAGTATAGCTGAAGGAGTTGTTCACTTTAGAACTAACATAGTTTCAGAACATCCTAGAAAAAGTAGCACTAAATACAGGACCAAATCACCAGTGAGTTTATTAACGTGTCAGAATATGATTGCACTATTAGTTATCCTGGCATAACAGCCACAGAACAAACTTTCTGATTTGCTTACATACATACATACATACATACATACCCAGTGGGGTATGGCAGAGTTGAGCTGAAAGAGAGCTTTACAACAATCCAATGGCAACTTCTTTTATCACCTCCTGTGCTATATGATAGTGGCAGGGTTGTTACACCTCTTGGTCAAGTTTACAGTTTCATAGAAAAATATGTGGATGTCCCAGGATAGATGACAAGGAAGTGTTCATGAAAGATGCTGAAAATTTTATGTTCACGTTGAAAGCAACTGTTATCTCAGGACTATAACTCGGGGGGAGGGACTGACTACTTCTGAATTTTGATTGTGTAAACAAATCATCGGTAAAACTTATGAAAATAAAAGCTCAGAGGCACAGAGAGAAAATCCGCAACTGTACTGTTTCAGGAGAGTTGTGGAAGTAAACAAAGCACTGGTCCATGACTCCTATTCCAAGAAGAAAAACCAGCATTTAGAAACCTACAATAATAAGCTTTTATGGACTAGAACCCATTTCATCAGGTGCATGAAGTGTTTCCTCAGTTGGAATAACACACACACACACACACACACGGGGCAGTGATGGGATCATAAGCAGCACAGCAAAGAACAACCTGAATTGTGGGCAAGACATGCTGTGCCATTTCTGTGCAAACTCAGCACAGTGACCACTCACAATGCCAGTAATTGATTATAATCTTCTTAGCTTTCCTGTGCTAATTTGAATACCCATAGTGTGGGAGAGAACCTTGGGTACAGTCAAGCCCTAAATGAATAAAATCAGACTCCCACAAGCAATTATAGTTTGGCAGTTTGACACCGGGGGCTCCTATTGAAGTTGTTCTGTTCATCAGCTGTCTCTTCATCAACAGCGGTGTCCTGGGTGATTTGTTTATTTGTTTATTTATGCTTTTGATCATTGTGATTCTCAAAGAACGGATACAGTTTTAAAACATTAACAGTACAACTACAATCGTAAAAGTGAGGAACAATTAAACAACTAAGCCGAACAAATAACAAAACACTTGTCTAAAGAGGAAGGTCCTAATTGCCTGCTTAAAGGGGGCAAGCTTCCAGAAGAGAGGATTGGAATGTTCTCTCCCTGGTTTGTGAGCTTCCCCGTTTTTTGTGTCAGATTTGTGTCTGTACCAGTTTGTCCCAGGTAGACAGCAAAAAGACATTGCTTGCAGGTCACTGCATATATCCAGTTCGCAGAGGAGCAGGTGAATGAGTCCCTGACAGAGTGGCCTTGTGTAATGTTGTTACCTTGTTGTTGGGTAATGTTAGATTGTGTAATCTTGTTACCTTAAATTGATATAGTCTAGGTTTGTTGCAGAGTCTGGTTCCTCAGGTGTGTGTCTCACTAGTTGTCCTGTTGCTGGTAAGGGAACTCTTAGAGATCAAGCCAGCCACAGGACCTATGAAAAGGAATACTGTATCATTGTCCGACGTGGTCATCCATCATCTTGCAGGCCTTTGGGTAGAGTCTTCTCCTTGCTTACAAACAAACACCCTTTTGCTGTCTTGCCTAACACAAACAGGTCAGTCTTTTGCCCAAAGTCTGTGTACATCAGAACATTTCACTCTCCCACTCTCCCAGAACACACTGCTGCTTACAGGAAAATCACTGCACTCCAAAACCAAAGGGAGTTTTCTAAGGGAGGTTCCAGCACGGAAATGCCAAATTTGAATGTACATATAAGCAGTTTGAATCAATTATTTTAAGAGTCAAATTGGAAACAAATCTTTCTCTTCCACTCGGGGCTTTGAATTAGCATAGCAAAGCACAGAGCATTACTGCAGTTGGGAGTGGTCACCGTGCTTATTTTGCATACACCTGAGCTTTTCATGGAAAGATCACTGACTTGAATTTCATGGCCTTTGTGCTCCACTGTTTACTATTTTGCACCCTCTATACCTCCGGGTATGACTGTAGAAAATCTACCAACTGAAGGTACCTCTTTGTGTGTGTGATGGTGGGTTCCAGTTCACAAAACCTTATGCTACAATATACCTGTTAGTCTTTTTGATGCCACAATACTAAATGATTTTTATTTTTTACTATAATGAACTAGCACAGCTACCCCTCTGTTGATCCATAATCCTACATAAGAACATAAAAAAGCCCTGCTGGATCAGGCCAAAGGCCCATCTAGTCCACTATCCCGTTCTCTCGATGGTCAACTAGATCCCTATGGGATACACAACAACACTCTCTCCCCTCTTGTAATTTCCACCAACTCATGTTCAGACTCCCATATTGACAACATAGCCATTTTGGTTAGTAGGCACTGATAAGTAGCCTTATCATGTAGCGGTGGCCTTGAATTTCGATAGCAGAAACATGTATTGTGGGTTGGCCTAAATGGGATACTTCAAAATGTAAGGAAAACATCAGGATGAACTTGGAAGAGTGAATTATTTGTCAGGAACTTAGGTGAAGTAAAATTGTCATTCTGTCCTCTTTCTCTGTTCCTCTGCTATTTCCTAATTCAACATTGTGCAGTCATAGATGGGCATTAAGAGTCACCTAATTTCAGGATAATCCGAAGGTGTGTTTTTTTAGGTGACTCTGTTTTTTCAGTTTCCTGTTAGATGTGTGGATAAAGAGCACCCCCACCCCTTTAATGAAGAAATTCTAGAGCAGTTCAGGGTATTTCAGTTCAAAAGTTGTTCTGTGATTAACAGTTGCTTTTATTCTTGACCAGACATTCTGTCAGTACTCATATCATTTTAAGGTTGTAAGCAAGGCAGTATTTTTTCCAGAGGGGGAGATAACATAATCCGAGCAAATCGTGACAATAATTGTCATGACATAGTGGTATGGTACTATATAATGCAAGGATATTATACTATGAAGTTTAGGTGGCAAACCATTGGTTTTCTCCATTGGAAATAAATGGTATCATTTGTTAGTGGATTGTTCCTGGTTTGATTTGAAACATAGGTACTCTTCTCTTAGGTCATCAAATCACAGATAAGACCAGAACACTGAGGCCCTCCCATGCAGATAGAATGGCTGGGTTCTGCTTAATAAGCCAAGATGAACAAGTTTTTTGCCTACGCCTGCAGCAGAGCAAGCAAACAAGCCAGGAACTCTTCGGCCAACCATAGTTTCCCATTTAATCCAGACTGGGAAGCTATAGTTGCCAGCTTCCAGGATATTAAACCATAATTTGAAGTTGGTTTAATATCCTGACTTGTTCTGCAGTGAATAATCATTGTTTTCAGGTTTGGGCAAAATGGGAAACTATGAATAATTACAGGGCTCCTGGTTTAGTTGTGTGTCATGAAAAGATAGGAGCAGAGGGGCTGAGGGAGGGGAGGGGAAAGGACCGTTCATATTGTGGATAACTGAGCTGAGATGTATTTATTATAATTTATATTTGTTTATTAAATTGTATACTGCCCTTCATCTGAAGATCACAGGGTGGTTCACAACATAAAAATACAAAATGAGAACACAAATACATAATAAAACAAGAACACAGAAATCAAAGCAATAACCTTTCTCCCATAAACACATTTAAAAGGCCATAGAATGTTTAATCAGCCAAAGGCCTATTTATAAAGAAACATTTTCGCCTGGTGACTGAATGATTATCAGCACCGGATTAATGCTTAACCATGGTTATGTTTTCCTTAACCATGGCTAACTGTTACATTTTAATACATTAGGATTTTTTTTATATAAAAAAATTAAATGTGCATATATATATTCTACTCTTCAACTCCAATGAAGTTTCTAGAGCAGCTAACAGAGAGTACTACCAACTATTGAAAATTACAGTCATCACATTAAAACAACAAATAGCAGGCCATGAGTCGAATGACAGGTGTTAAAACCAATTTAAAACACCAAGCCCAGTAAGATAACAGGTATCAGTACAATTATAAATTAAGTATCGGCCACAATCTAGAATGTGAAACCACAGTTTGATACACATTTTGTCGCCTTAACCTTCATTAGTCTCAGTTATGGCCAAGCATTATATAAAAAGAAAAAAAGGTCCTGTCTGGGGAAATACATGTTTATTGCACAATATGCAGTACAGTATATCAACATTTTGTTTCTCTTTAGCTAAGTCTGCCCAGCCTGTGACTTTGTATAGTTTCATACGCTTCTCTTCTCCAAATGAGGAGCAGCTGCAGGTTTTAACCTTTTACCGTATTCTGCACATATTCCGCGTATACGGCACAGTGAATCTGACATGGGCTTGCTAAAAATAAATGTTGTTGTTTGGGTGAAATTCATCCAGAACAACATAATTGTTTTAATGATTTGCCCCCAAAATGACTCACCCAGCCTTCAAAATAAATAATTTATCCAAAGCATTTCTCCAGGAGAGGCCATTAGAGCATCGAGTTCGGCAATTAAGAAATGCACCGGGAAATGGAAAAGTCAAGGAGTTAACACTCTCACTGCTATGAGAAACCTCAGAGTCCAATTTAAATCTGAAAAGAGGTTTATACAGTATGAGTGGCGGGTGGGTTTTTTGTTTTGCTTTTTGTGCTTACTAGTTAGCATCGTCAGGGACATCCTGCAAAGCAATGTCAGAAAGGCCGTGGCGAATGGTAAAAATACATTTGATATTTAGACCATGTGATGGCTTCTATATATATCTCAATTACAGATAAAAGCTTATGGTGCTGATATGGTGTTG